AGCAGGACTGGAGTGCTCCTCACTTTGGAGGTTTTGGAGCAGCTCTGTGGTCCCTGAATCACCCTGACAACTCCTCAGCACTTTAAGATGTCTAAGTGACCTGGAGGAGCAATCATAAATCATGCAGGCTGCTGGAGGTGTAGCACAGCAGCACTGTGAAAATAAGGTGTTGGGCATGCCAGGTGCATGGGGCAAAATTATCCACCACCTCAGTTTCAGGGGAGCCTGTCTGCCTTTTGGCATGGGCATGGGAGGCATCAGGAGCACCCAAACGCTTCCTTAGAGCCTTACCCAAGAGGGAACACTTCTGCCTTTGCACTGTGAGAGCAGAAGGGCTTTTATAAGGGTGTGACTTGAGGGAAAAGCAGCACTTTCTGAACTAGACAGAAAGAGCATAAATCAATTATTTACAAGTGTGACATGGCTGCTGTGAAAAGTCCTGCAACTGTTTGTTGAGCAGAGGAGTCTGCACTGTTCGAGATTCAGATTCACACTTGATTAAGTTTTCCTCCCTTTGGTCTGGACTGTGTAGAAGCTGAGATTAAATGGTCATGATGGTGCCTTCTGGCTTCAAAAGGTATGAACCTATGACTTAAACCACAGTGTATTTCTCATTTGTGCCTGCTCTGTTTTATATCTAAGACTTCAGTTTTCAGCAGTCACGGTAGTTACTGATCTGCCTTTGTAAACTCAATGGCTCACAGCCCTATAAAATATCAGAAACAAAATGTTTTAAATTTTGCTATGAAGTTCCACCACAGGATTTACTTTCACTTTCTTCAACATCAGAGCTGTTTAACATTAGGGAAAAGGGAATAAATTGTACTCCAGAAAATTGTGCTGTACATCAGAAAGGGAACTTAGAAAGAACAGAGGCCCCCTGGTGTGAGAACCTCTTATTCTCTTTTCAAAAAGGTGGCAGTATTTTTCAGATCTTTTGCTTTATCACTAACGCTGGGTCCTGTTCTGCCTAATAAATACCTTCCATCCCTGAAGCCCAATGAAATGCTTCTTAATTTTAAGTCATATATGACTCGCCCTGCGATAAGGCCAGTATTTTTCCATCAGCAAGCCAACCGGACTCAGAACTGTTAATCTCCTCAGTATGCAGGGTGCTTGCTTTCACTCAGATAAATTGTATAAATATTTGTAAACACTATAATCTATTTCAGACGTAGCAAGAGAACAATCTGATAAACATAACGCGGTTTCCAGAGATCAATAAAAGCCCATAAATATTACAAACAAATAAAACGTACTCTATTCCACGTAGACAGAGCTGTGACTGAAATGAGAAAGCAAGATGCAGGGATGGGCGGATTTGAGAGCCTTGCACTTGAGGGCTACAATACCAATCCCACTGCTGCAGGGTGAGAGGCACCAGTGGGTGTGCACACATACCCATCTGCATGGCGTTGCGGGCCTGGCTGGCTGGCTGCTGAGCAGAGTACCTCAAGCAGTTATTCAGCTGCGGAGAGGCGGCCTGTAGCTGGGGATGTGTCTGAGGCACAGTGATGGGAACAACGGGTCTGACGGCTGTGGTGGCATTGGTGTGAGCAGCCCCGATGGGGTGGATGGCTCCTGGGGCTCCTTTTGTTGCTGAAGCTCCCCCGGCTGCACTGTTTCTGGGCTGCCCAGCTCCCACTGGCACCCTGCAGACAGACAAGTACAGTGTAAGCATGCTGCAGAGCCCCCAGTACCCAGTCACAATGCTGACAAGCACCCCTTGTTACTTAGGGGGTTCAACATGATACCTTCTCAGGTGTTCAAATAAATGGAGATATATATATATGTATATATACATGTTTATACAGGATACAGTCATAATCATGCTGGAGGACATTTTCGTACTTTTATCCTATGGAAAGAAGTTCAAGGTAAAAATGGAAAAGATAATTTTTCTTATCGATTTTTTTCTTATGCTACATTTCTGACTGAATAATTTCTACTAAAATCACAAATTTAAATTCAGAAGAAATGGATATCTCTGAACTGTCATTTTGTGTGCCAGAGGCTATTTTGCAGGCACTAATGGACTGATAATTAAAACAGTCTCAGAGATCTTTTCTTAGGACCAAACTGAGAAAACAAGCTACATAACAGCAAATCTGTGTGTGGCTGTTGAAGAGGACTGAAAAGCAGCAGACTTGGCAGGGCCTGGCTTGGCTGAGCACTTACCCTATGGATGTAAGCAGCCCTAGGTTAGACTTGCTGGGGAAATGCAAAAGGGAAGGGAATGCAGCTGACCTTACTGAAAAGGAAATCCAAACAATAACTGACACCTCTTTCCATACTCAC